AGGATAAATGAATTTTTCCCTTTTCAAAACTAACAAATTTATTTAATTATTTCAAAAATTAGGTAGTAAATAGATTTATTAAATATTAAATAATAATATAATATATATTAATTATTTACACTCAATGACATCTCACCCATCCCCATCACCTCGCTACACCATCTTCCCTCCATCTCCGGCACTGCTTCGGCGACGCTCCGGCGACTGTTCCAACTACTACTCAGATGGCCACTCCGGTGACTCTCCGACGATCACTCTGATATCTATTCCGACGATCACCCCAACACCCGTTCCAGCGGCCACCTTCCAAATTTTTCCAGAATTTTTTTATCACAATTGGTCACCACGAGTCATAATTCACAAGTCACAATCGGTCACAAAAGGGCACAATCGGTAACAACGAGTTACAATCAGTCACAAAAAAGGCACTATCGGTCACAAACAGTCACATTTGGACACAATCAACCAAATAATTGGTCAGACACCCACCAAATCCCATCCCACCCATGACATCACCAACGCCACAGCACCGCCGTCAAACTCCATCACAGCACAACACGTCCCACCACCATTGCACCTCCATCGCCCATAGCACCATAGCACCATCACACCAGCACGATGCCGAAAACAACACTACAGTCCCCATCCACCGCGGTATAGTCTCCATCTAACGCACCACAGCCACCATCCACCAACTGAAAATAGATCTGCACCATTACCATGCACAGCATCACCTTCGTTATGCTGAAAACAGAATCGCCGTCAAATACCTCCACCGCACCACAACCCCCATACCACAGTCCCCATCCACCAAGAAAAAAAAAGAGATCTGCACCATGCTCAGACCATGGATCGTGTAAGAGCGCTATCACGTCTCCGGCGACAACTTCCAAATCGCCGCAAAGCGCAGTTGCCATCAACTCCGAACGAAGAGGCGTCGGTCTCCTTCCATTACAGTAGCATTGTGATGCTGCTTCCGTGGTGGCGACGGCGCCTCGACTTCTT